CTTCAGATTCAGGTCCTGAAAATACTTTTTTTTATTTTATATTGTTGTGTTTTGTAAAAGAAAGAAAAAGGAAAAAAAGTACATTTACGTTATTGGTCCATTTTCTTATTTAGCAACTGCTTGCTAACATTTTTAATAGCACAGTGCTGCTGGCAACAGCGAATTAGATCCATTTATTTATTAATTTCAGTTTCATGGAGAGCTGAGATCTTCACTGCAGCTCCTATTCCAACAGATAACTGGAGACGTGATGTTGTTCGTTCCTATAATAGGTAGTATCATTAAAGCAATGTGAACCAAGGCCTTGACTAGGAGAAATGTAATCATAGAAGTGGGTACGGCTCAATTCAACTTCTTCATGTCTGATGCAATACCGATGCATGCTGTGGGCTGCCGTTGCCGAGGTGAGCTGAGTGTCGCTGTTCACGGTGTTCTGTATGGTTTGTACACCCGTGTACATAGCCAATAGCTAAGCTATACCTACAGTTAGACTACAGAGTCCAGTGGTTTTTGTTTTGTGCACATGTGTAGTACACAAAACATACAAATCTACTGGGAAATACAAATGTGAAAGAACAATGACATGTCGCCCAGAGTTTAGTCGAGCATCTGGCTTAGAAATCGGATCGGACAGGCTGTAGTTGGTTTTTCCGATGTTCGACCTTGACATTTTGGCCACATACCAAGTTTGTTCTATTATAATCTTCCGTGTTGTCCGAAGAGGATTTAAGTTTAAAATTCCACACCAAAAATTCGATGTGAATGAACATGACCAATGAATGACTTCTGTCCGTTGTCAACGTTGGTGCCAGATTTTTCCCTATATTAGGGGTCTGTTTTCTTCAAGTGCAGTTGACTAATGCTTGAATGCTCCTGGAACATGGCCATGAAACTTAACCTCTTATTGAGCTGACGCGCAGCCATAACACTGGAGGAATGCCAGACTGTGGTTATTTAAAAGCAGTATCTGCGCTGAGAGTTGAGAGAGCACTCCATCCTCCTCCACCTATATGTAGAGTACTGCTGCAGACACATGCTTTTCAACAGAATTAGGACGTGGACCCTGTAACATGAGTGTTTACGTCTCACCTACGTTGTACTGACACACACACAGTAGTTGACTCACTCAACTTCTTTTTCATTTTTTTTTTGTTAATTAATGGACCAGCAGCAAGTTTCACTTGAATGAACACGGACTGTACATTCATCTAAATAAATCCTAACAACTTCCTGTTAACCATGGGTTTACAGTACAGTCTTAGTTATTGTCCATTAGAGTCATCATATAGACGACCCCCTGCTGTGGCTTAATCATCGTGGGGTTTCCAGACAGGTAAGCCACTGAGAAACAATGATCTGTTGTCAGCAGACAGCGTTTGAGACATGACTTGTGGGGTCGTGGTGACTGCATAGTGGAAAAAAATGTGAAAAATGTGCAGGTGACTGTGATTACTTCTGTGTGGTGCCTGAATATAGGTCATTATTACATTCCATATTCCCACAGTAGGCTTCTTTGTGTATCCTAGTTTATTTGTTTCTGTCCGTGTGTGTATGTGTTTGTCTGAGAGGAAAGGACAGGAAATTCAAGAAGAATGAATGGTTTAATGAGCATGTTCACGTTTGTCTACATCTTGGGTCTGGGGGGAAGCGACCCTCCCATTTGTTTCCTATCAGCTATTTTTGCCTGGACTGATGTGATTGCTCTTTGTTTCATAGGTCAACAGATAACAACATGTTTACACTGTGTCAGTGTGTCTCTGATCATGGTCAGGGATACAGCAGAACATAATGGAGTGATGTCACTTTCTTATATTAACTAAATGGACGAGGTTATTTTCATCCACAGCCCAGTGTTTCTTTGTAAATCTAACAATTTTTTTCTATTTTTCTTTAAATTGGATGAATGTCCTTCTGGCTAAACTGATTTTTTTTTTTTCTATTGAGATTTTTGTTTTATGTGCTTCACACAGAATAGCGGGCTGTGGCCCACAGAGCCATACGTAGGGAAGGAACAATGGTGAAGTGTGGTGCACCATTCCTCCCTGTAATCTGAAGGGCCAAGTGGGCCACAGCTTATTTGGCTGAAGTTTGTCTTCCAAGTTGAAATACTTCAGTCTTGGGGGATGTGTTGACCATGAAATGCAAACTAAACAACGTTCTGTTTTTAGTTTTCAGTATTGCTACACTTTCACTGACCTCGTGACCCATTCAGCCAAGCAGCGCTAACATCAGTGTCTTCTTAAGGCATCCAGCATAACATCAGTTATGACAAGGTCAAATCAGTCAGCAAGCACAGAGGTATGACCAGCTTGACCAGCTTGATAGTTGTCGGACTTTGACAATGCGGATCTTTGAGGAAAAAATAGTCAAGCCTCAAGAACAAGTTTGATGAGACATTTCCTACTGCACATTTCTGAGTCTCAATCAAGTCGATGAAGATTTGCCATTGCATTTGTCAGGTATTTGTCCAACAGTTCCCAAAGACCCAGTCACTATGACTGACAAACAAGTAACTGGCCATTGGTCATGTTATAGGTCCCATTTAAGGCACACAGAGAGCTTTGTTGGCAGCAGCACTGACATGTAGCTCCCTCTCCCTGGCCTTCAGGTGTTTGTTATTATTAGTGTTATTATTTTAGAGTCCAATTTTATTTTTAACACATTCTGTTACGACCTTCTTTCATACACAAATATAACCTGTAAATGAGAAATAATTGTTTTCCAGTGGATCTAAAGGACACATACCAGTAGGACAAACCACTGGTATTTGTTAGCAGCAATGTGCCAGACACAGGTGGGTTGAATAAAAAAAGGAGAGAATATCACTCATCCTCATTTCAGTCACCGAATAGCACCGATGTACCAGCAGCCTGAGATTATGGTATTTTAATGATGTCGATCAAATGCACAAAATGGTCATACTGACATGGTTCTGGACATCTTCAATAGATATATAAATAGAAATATATAACTAAGCAAAAAAAAAAAAGTAGCAACAGGCTGCAGTTGATCTCTGTTACTCACAAACTATGTATGCACAGGAAATGCCACAGTGCATTTTCACCATAATTAAAAAATAATTGTTTTGATAGTTGTACCAATGAAATTTAACACAGGAAGGAGAAGAATATCATATCATGTGATATCATATCATATCATGTGATCTGAGACAAACGATTCATTGTGAACATGTAGTCAGAAAGTTGAATTTTAGTACATGACAAATTTGAGATTGTTTAATGACATTTTCAAGAGTGGCGTTTCCCTTGCTGTCTTAAAGCAATTACCTCTCCCAGACCAGAATTTTACCACTGCACCACCCCCACCCTGGACTCTGCCTAAACTGCAGAGCCAAATCTTCAAAGCACTTACAAGAAAAACAGTGAATTTCCCATTGGGTGTTGGCCAGAGCACAGACCAGGACTTATACTTTGAGGGTTCCAGTGTTTTTCTAACAAGCTAAAGCTAAAACCACACCCCTTGTTGAGTCCTGATTGCTGCTTTAGGTTTTCCACTTGAATACCAACACCTTGAACCAGAGCTGTGGCACAGAGCAGGTCCTCTCTCTGTGGCTTCCAAGTTTTTTTTTATGCTTTTTGAAATGCAATTTGGTTTGGTTATTGGGGCATCATGCTGGAATTCCTCAGGAAACAGACATGGACGCCTGTGCAGGTTTGTACCACCATCAACAAGTGAAATGACTTTTAAAATTTGACTTTGTACTGCCATCCCAGCAGATGATGTGTATTTAAAGGGCTTCTACTTCAAGCACAATGGAAAACTCCTTTAGTGGCTCCACTACTGAGGAAACCTCATGGAGAGTTGAAGAAGATAGTTTGGTAGATGATGATTCTCTGAACGTGGCTCATATCATCATCAGCCTGATAGCAGCAGAGACAACCTGCTCCAATCACAGCTCAATACCATCCCATTCAGCTGCGCCTCAGAGTGAGCTGGTGAATGTGATTGGCTGACAGAGTGTGCAGTGATGAGTTGACTGGATTATATTAATAATGGAATAATAAACGGGCCACTTGAATGACTTAGCACAGTGGTTCTCAAACTTTTTATATTCTGTACCACCTGAGAAAACTATATTAATGTATTTATTGTGCATGGTATGTTTCAGATTTATTCAATTGAAAATGTAAATGTAAAAATATGAATTTCATATTCTGGTGGTACCACAGTTTGAGAACCACTGACAGCATATCCTTGGGCTGTGTATATTTTTAGTAGTTCCACATTCTGTATAAAGGACCCGTTTTATCTATGAATGCAGAAATATGTTTCTAAAGTTTGCCTTTCAGCCAGCCACAGATTCTGACTTGAGATGTGAAATAATTATTGTACTCCATCCTTCCCAAATGATTGCAGGTATACATAAACTCATAAGTACTTGAGACTAAATGCCAAATTGCAAAATCAATCTTAAATCCAGGCTAGAGACAATAACATTTGCAGTCTGTTTGTATGTGTAGTGCAGTCTGTTCTGCAACTACAGATACTGTAATGTGACAAACATAAAATATGTTTCCGGTAGCTTAACTGCGTTGTAATCAGTTGCATTCGGAATTCCATATCTGAATGGGTGCAGTTTCTATCAATAAGAAAAAGAAACCTGTTTATTCTATGGCAGGTACTCTTAGGGAATGGAATCCTGAAACATCCAATCAATACTTGGTTTAAACATTTGGGTAAATAGACTAAAATAAAATCTTGCCAAAGCCCTTTATAGATTTTTTTTACTGTTCCAGTTCTATATTTTTTTTTCTTATCCTGCTTTTATTTACTATGAGTATTGTTATTGTTGGAGCTACGGGCAGTGCTTGTGTTTATATGCAGTAATATGTAGCCCCCCACAGGAGGATGATGTACAATACACCACAGTCAGAGCCTGACAGGTAGCAGAGTGAGATAATTGTCTCACCAGTCTGTGGAATAGCTGTAGTAAATATTAGCAATTTTATTGGAGTATCGTCTATTAAGCCTATGTGGTCATGGAAGTTGTTGGCAAGACTCTCAGCAGCACAATGAGGTAATGCCTTTGGCTGGACTACGTGGTTTTAGCTTTCTGGTTTTCCTGTCTTTATTCAGTGAACAAATATAGCGATATATGTATATATAATTAGCTAGTTAGCAAGTTTAGCTTCTCTGGATTTCGTTAAACTCGTCTGCCTTGTGGAACGTTTATATGAACTTTTTATGCCTCTTTTTTTGTCTTATTCGGAAAAAATGTACTATTTATTAGTCTGCTGCTAGCTGCTCTTTAGCATTAGTTTAATAAAACTGACAAAACCCTGGCAGCCCCACACCTCCTGACACTTTTTTCCAGAAGCTAATAACGCGCCTCAAAGTGGTTTGTTTCGTACAGATATATAGGTGCAACACTTGGCAGGGGGCGCACTACTTTATTTTTCTTGTGAAGGGATTTACAGACATCATTACTGCTGCCACAGTGAGACTCCCTGATGTGTGAAGACTTGCTCCACAGGGTAGGCACAGATTTATGGTCACAATGATGACTTCATTCTTTCGTGACTGAATTATTGGCCGCTGTAACATCCGAGTAAATTTTATGCTATTTCCCATTTTTATTTTAAAAATTACATTTTAACAAATTATTTTTGTAATTTAGATCCATTATTATTATTTTTTTGATTTTTTAAATCTAGTTTGATAATTTATAGTGGCATTTTATCAAGAGTCCAGAGAGGTTATAGAAGTTGTACACTGACATGAACGTATTCGCTATATTTTTTCACACCACAAGGTGTCCCCATAAAGCTTTAAAAGCCTCCTAACGTGACTATAGTCAAATGGGGATGCTTAACGTGGGAGCGGAGAGTCGTGAAGAGACGTCAAGTAATCAAAAACAAAAACAAAACAGCTTTTTCTAAGTGAACAGAACACTTTGTAATGACGGTAAAACAATATGAATATGATATTAAAATAAGCTAAAATACTAATGTCATAATAGCAGGGAATATGTAGTCACACACGGTAGAACTTTGAGTCAGTGTGTGTTCGTTGAGGTCATTAAGGTAATTAGAACAAATTATATTAGTAATGAAAAAAAGAGCATTTATTAATGTCTGGAAAATTACCTAAGATGGACATGTCATCGACCATCATGTCCCACAACACACTCTATGAATGTCCCTAATAATAAGAAGGAGCAAAGCAAAGCAAAACAACAAAAAACCCACCAAAAAAACAAAAAACGTATATATTATTAAAGTAAATTTGCAAGTGTGCATAAAAATGACGTACAAAATATGAGTGTCATTTAATCATGGTGGGGATATGTGTCACACTTAATGCTTTTCTCTAAATATAACTTTGAAGAAACATTACAGTTGTACAAATCTGCAGTTTCCTGAGGTGAGGCCAGAAGATAAAACAAAATCAAATCATTTTCTGCTTCAATTAAACATATTAAGTGGAGCCTCCCCTAAGTAAATGATCATATGAATGGAGTAAAACATATACTTTCTTTCACTTTCTTTCTCTTATTTCTTTCACATGGACAAAGGAATAGATATTGATTATAGAAGCATTTCAGGTTCACAGCAAATGGCAGAGAAAAATTCCAATCTAAAACTTTAAAGTCAAAGCAAAGTAAAAAGGTTCAGGCAGAGAATCACAACAGCATCTTTCAGGTTGACAAGGCCTTAGCAGCATGTGTCTGCTCAGGCCGTTAATGTGGTGTATGACTTAGGGATTGGCCAAGATGATCTTTTAAGTCTGAGGTCTCACAAGTGCATTGAAGAGATGACTTGTCTGTGTGTGCAGCGAAGAGGAAGAGCAACTCATGTGACTGGAAAGTGAAAAGCATCTCTTGGAAGACATGGAGGAGTCGGAGCTGAGACAGGCACAGATGGTTTCACTGCAGCAACAATTCACCAGGTAAATGATATGCTACAATTCTGGCATTAGAGGGAAAACAATTACACACCGCTAGTCCTAAGAAACTCAGCAACTGTTTTAATATGCTGGTCATGTGATTTCATGAGACAAAAGTTGCCAAAAAAGTAAAAATGTTTTAACATATAATGTGGACCACGTGTGTCATTACATTATTAAAGTTTCTCACATAATCATTTAAAATGCAAACCACATTTTTGGTTATTTCAAATTACTATTACGCTAATATTATAATGAAATATATTATAATAAGCAACATACTCAGCCATAGATACATTTAGTAACCAACATGTATCATATTGAATAGATAAAGATGTATAAACAGCAATACCATAGATAGTTTTGTCTTGACCACAGTGCGTTCATTTTCCCAGGAGGAAACTAAGAGGAAATGTCTGAGCTAGAGGAGCTACAGTTACATTAGGAGCAAAACACACAATATGAAGCTTATCCTTTATTGAGTTGGCTTGGTGGCTACCGAGTCAGATCATGGCAGAGGTCAACTAGATAAATGGTTCTCATAAGCAAGTAGCCACACAGCTACTTGTGCTCCCGGTCATAAAACTGTGATGCTGCCATTTTTGTGCACCGTACCCTTCCCTTCCACAAAGCACACAAACGAGAAAATCGGGCTTCAGGCTCACTGTTGAAGGGCTAATCTTGTTTAAGCATAGCTGAGCTATAATCCTGACATGAATGGGTCAGTGTACCTACAAGCTTGTGACCACGTGTGTGCAGAATATGTTTACATGTACTGGGAGCTCCCAAGGAATAACAATGCTTACATTGCAGCCGGTGATTGGTCCATATGTGCTCTGCTGGTAAAGGGGACATCAGCATGGTTTACTTATTTTTCTACAAAAATACATCAAGATTAAGAAGTCCTTAATTCATCCCACAATAGGGAATTTACAGTGCAAATCTTTGCAACCGACACAGGTTCCCACAAGAGGTGCAGCTACACTATGGAACCACAAATATGTTGCTATGAACCACTGGTCCACTTGTTCCTAACCCTCCTTTGCTGTTCACAAGTTATTGGCATATGGATATAGACATGTGCTGTTACAGCATTAATGCCTCGTCACTGTCAGAAACAGAAGTGAGTACTTGTTCCTTTGCTGCTTTTTCCATTCAAGACCTTTAGCAGTACGCCCTGTTGGATTCAGGTTTAATGGTTGTGCATGAGGGGGATGGAAACCTCCCTTCATCACTCTGTCTTGATGATAGCAATATGGTTAGTAAATGTCAAATCTTTTAAATAGACTTGGATCTGTTTGACCTCAGTCAAAAATGTTTGTATTTTCAAATTAAATTTGTGCTTTGACTAATGATAATGGAAGAGGAATCGTCAAGTTTCAGTGTAATCACTTTATGATAAGTTAGACTTGGGTTTAAAGATATTATAGACCTTGAATCACTGATTTAAAGGTTACTCTTCTGGCTTTTAAATTCAATTTTATCCTTTTGCTTTTTGTTTTACTGGACAGCCACTTTATTGCAATAATGAGACAAAAGATAGAACATTTTCATTAAAAAACTGCCCTTCACAGAACAAAACACACGTGTGGGAACAAACTGTTTCATTCATGCAAAACAAAAGAGATCAGACAGCACCTCTCAATACAAAATGTGTTCTGATAATTCCGTATGTTTTCTACTTTGGATTGCTTTTCAGGGATTTATTTGAAAATACTGCATTACTTGAATACTTACACATATACAGTATATGTTCCTCCTCTTTGACACACTTGCACCAACTGTTGAACCTGTCTGCTAAAATACACGTTCTCTGCACACCTAACCTTTCACCCGCGAGCCCTAAAGTCATGAAACTAAGGATTAGTGGAGACTTAGGACAGGCCCATGGATGTCTAGACATTTGAAGACAACCAGTGAGGTCATTAAAAACGTGGGCTAAATATTACATAAAACGTCTCCTAGGTCCTTTCGATCAACCCTCCTTTACATATGGCTCGAGGATGGGAAAGGCAGTATTAATGTAATACTTTATACTTGCTCTTAAAATATATCAAATTTTAAAAATATATAAAAAATATATAAAATATATATAATATATAAAAAAATATATCTTTTTATATCCTTTTTAGACAACATTTTTACAACATAGTTTTTTGACAATGTTACATGTATTAATCCACTGCAGTTCCCCCTGTGTGTTTATTTCATATTTAATATAATGTTCCCTGCAGTGTGTTTATTTCATATTTAATATAATGATAAATAAAGACACAGATTCAGACATTTCCAACAACTTTCACTGAATAAAACCTTCCTAGATTCAAAAACAAAACATCACCTTCTGCCAAATCTCCTCTTTCCAAATGGCCCATTTCATACTGTAAGTAAGGCATTCTTTACGGCCCTCATACCATGGACAGAGCTGAATCGGTCATTCTGAGGGCATAGAACTTGGGAGTGCTTCCCTGCTGTCATATGCATGACTGATGTGAATTCATTTTACAGTTCTGAACAATCCTCACGGTGATGATCTGGGACAACCTCTAAGCTGAATGTGGAAGAGATAGTATATCCTGTCCACCTCCTCCTCCTAGACTCTATCTAACTATTGGTCACTTTGTATTTTTCCTGCATAACAGCTCAGCGTGAATAAGATTAGCCTAGGGTTGGGTTAGTTGGATTAAAAAAATCAAAAAATGTTTTATTAGTGGCTGTCACAATTCTGTTTTTTTCAACCAATTTAAAAGAATGAAATACTACTAGCTTAGCACTGTGTCACATATCTTCCAAATGCACTATTATTTGGCACGTTCTGCTGGTCATCAATAACCCTAACAATAACCCTCCTTTAAGTATTTTGGTTGTGAACATATTTCAAAATGCAGCAGTGTAGTGGTCCCAGCATCCAGACTGGTAAAGATGTTGTATTAGCATCACTGTGGCTGTTTTTAGCTCTCATGCCAATCGATGAGCTGCAGTGCAGGATTATGATGTCTGGAGTCGTAGCAGACTGGCAGCTTTCTGCTCGGTGAACTGATAGCCCGGTGTAGAAACATTGAGTTGAATTACACTATTGGTAGACAGAAATTAACATGTTACCAGACAATAATGTGTCGACAACCGGTAATCCACTGCACCATGAGCGTCATTCCGAGAGAAGATTGTAAGACAAACAAGCTTGAAATTGACCTGCAGAGATATTTGGTCATGCCTGGAGGGTTCAGTCATGCACACTTTCCTAGTAAGTGTTCAGTGTGTCATTAACAGGCACAACGGTTGACCAAAGAGTCACTTTTCTCTGTAGAGTATTTTCCTCAGTTATAGGGAGCAGAAATACAGTGAGCTACAGATGGAGGAGGTCTGCTGTTGGCTCTGTTAATTCTTGAAGTTTCTTGATTTTATTATTTGATGTTCCAGAGATCCAGAGAAGAAAATGGTTGATATAAAATTATGGATTATTTAAAAGGTAGGAATGGAGTAGAAATTAAGCTCTTAAAATCTGAAGTGACTATTTAGTAAAATGTAAAGACATGTGATAGATTGCTGGTTTCCATACCACCTTAAAGCAGGACTGTTTTTTCAATATCTAGAGTCTGTGTAAATCAATTTACATCCATCATATGCATTAAGCGCCCTCTACTGTGAATATTAGTTTTATGAGGCTGAACATTTTTCTCTTTGTTTATTAAAAATGATTGGTTGGACGTGCATAGTTCTTACATAATTCTTGCTTTGGAAATGTGATAACTTTACTGTTTTTCTGCACTCTTGAACAGAGATAGAACATCAAATTAAATCTATCAGGATGACAAATAACATAATAACTGTTCTGAATGTTTATGTTTATCATTAACGTTTTACATAGGGGGAAAATAACGTGGCAGTCAAAATAATCCATGCATGTTATTAAGTAAAAGTGACAGCAAGAGTAGAAAGTAAGTTCTTAATGGACCCAGCCATTCTGTTCATAATAACCACAATAGTACTGAAGAATAACTGCTAACATTTACGAAACTTTTCAGTACCAAGATGCAGAACATCTGAACCGTTAAGGTGTAAAAACAGTGGCACTCCTGTTTAAAAGCACAAAGATACTCTTTTAGAGGCACAGGAATTTTCTATACCTTGCAAACAGGAACTGAGGACTTTACCCCCCCCCCCCCCGGAACCACACAGAGGTACCATGGTTCTCCCTGTATTTACCACCTAAAAAATTACAAGGGCATTAGGGACTTGTTTGGAACTCTTGCTTGCATTTATGGCCAGCAGCCACAAAACCCAACATCCATCTCAAGTGTCCTAATGGTTTTGGAGTCCTTTCCTGTGCTTGTTTAACAAGTTTCAACTGTTTACACTTATGTTATTTTATTTGAATTCTTCTTATATCCTGTTTATATGTAAAGTGTGTTTAAATGATAGCAGACACTAGAGGCTCAACCATCCATCTATCATAAAGATGGCTGTATAAAAACCAAGCATTATATTACATCATATTTAAAAAGATGGTCCCATATATGTTGCCTAATTTCATATTATTCAGAATATTCAGAAAAATGTCATTATTATACCTTTAATGTTAAATGCATATTATTGTAGATGTTTCAGTTCAAAAGTAACAAGTACAGAACTTACATTTCAACCTTGTCCTTCAGTCCCTTTCTTTGTGCTGACACAATGAAAGTTCACAAAGATACAGTTTTTTTCTTTGTAATATTAACAGTAGTTCATTGTGTGTTGACTCTTGATATCATTGTAGATGTGGATTTGAATTGTTTCTTTTATTTAGCCAAAGCAAGTATGTATACAACATATTTAGCTGTTAGTATTCTGATACAAACCAATACAGGTGCAGGTATTTATTTAACGATCTTCAGTTATCTGTAGCTTCAAATGTATTCTAATCTGAGTATGACACAAAGACGGTTCTTCTGTGTGCAGGATGGAAGGGACAGTACGGTCGCTGCTGCAGAGCCAGGGAATCCTGGAGCAGACTGCTGTTGAAACAGTGAACATCATGAAGGCCAACAAGGTCAACTTTTGTTGTTACACGTCCAGTCTGTACATTACAACACTGTCAAAATATGACCTTATATTTTTATACCTGTGTATAAAAAAATCAAAAAGGTGGTTTTAATTGATATAAATGTATAATATTATATAAAATAAAAAAACAATACAAAATGATCAATTTTATTTATTTACATCTAGACACAGGCCAGGTTCATGGGCTAGAAGTGTTTAGAATATCAAGTACATAAAGCTCCTATCGTTCATTTAGCTCCTGAAACAGGAGAAGCCACCACTGCTTCAATGTTTTACACTAAGAAAAGAAAAGAAAACCTAATAAGAAAAAAAAACATACATAATGTGTTATTACTTAATTCTACCAAGGAAGATGTGTTTTGTTATTAAAAGTACATTAACTCATTCCTTATTTGTTATTAATAAATAAAAATAAAACACTATAAATTATTTTATGCATTAAACAAACGAATGAGAGCAGATCTTCTCTTATGCCTTAGGAATACTTATATCTCGTCAGTTTGTTCATTAACTATCTGCACTTATAACATGAGCTCATGAACCCTAACCCTTCTTTTACATCCTTCCATTTCTTGTATTTTGGGTTTTCTTTTTTGAACTGTTCTTAATTCTTCTTTTACATCCTTCCATTTCTTGTAACTTTTTTTTTTTCATCAGGATGAACACTTTGAGGAAGTCCAAAACCAGCCAAATGAGCCTGAAACAAAGGGCTTTCAGCAGGCCTCTGAAGTGGAGCTGAACCCTAACCCTGATCCTGATTTCAGCCAAGACAGAACCATGTTTCTTCTGGAGCGACTAAAGGCACTGGAGGTGAGTATTTCACCATCAAAACTTTTTTTCTTTCACTTTCAGAACTTTCTATTTCCCTAAATCCTTCTTCTGTTCTCTTGGCTCTTCTCTTTCATCTTTTTCATATGCATCCTTTCTAACTGCCCCTGGCTACAGCTGTCACAATTCTGGCTTAGTTTGGTCATAAATGGGACAGCCCATCATAGTCTCCGGGGTCTTCTGGTCGTACTGGAGCTGTGGTTTGTTTTTATTTGTTCTTAAGGATTTAAGAAGTGCTCCACCATGATCCCCAAACAGAAGGAGAGGCAGTAATGGAACTACATCCATCCAGGCTTATTGCTTACAGTATATAACTCACCATCCATTGGGCATACAGTTTCTTTCATTTCACACTAATTCAAGGACATAATTCAAGGTATACTTTTTATTTTCATCGGCAGGAGCAGTAAATTATACTAAGGCATCAGGTCTAACTGATATGATAAGTCATATCAGACACTGATGTTCTGATCTAACAGCGTAATTAGGATTTTAGTTAAATAATGTCATCGGTTATGTGCAGTAAAGTAGCATCTAAGATGTTACATTTTGCACACACTGTCTTGACACTCAACCACCAAGAATTGTTTGAAAAGCACCACTGGTTGGGTCTACTGGTGACGAGGGATGTAACGATACGTAACGATAATTAATGTGTTCACAATCCAATTTTAAAACAATTTTAAACAAGATAAGCTTAAATCAAATGATGATCAAATACAATGATCCTTTTTTATGAGAACTATTTAAAAACTGAAATGGTCTTGTGTACCTCATAAACTTAAATCACGGAATACAAAAATTGCTGTGCAATCAGTGTCATCACACTCACCTGTGTCCTGTGATCACCTGCTCATTAGTCTCACTGGTCTCACCTGGTGCCCTGGGTATACAGATACCTCTCTCCCTCCGTCAGTGAGTCTTTGGCTGGTCATTGTTCTGTGTCCATGTGGTCTTTGGTCCTTACTTCTTGTTCTTGTTCCTGGTTGGTCTCAGTTTATGCTCAGTTCCTGCCTGGTCCTGTTATCCAATGGACTTTTGGTATTTTGATTTTGGAATAAACTCTCTGTACCAGATCTATGTCTTTCCTGAGTACCACATTTAATTCAATATAAAAAAATGTTAACTGGACAGAGTTCCTTTTTTTATAGAAAAAGTGTAAAACAATATTTGTCTCCGTGGAAGTTCTTTCCACGTTCTGCTTGAACACCTGAATGTCACATAGGCTATGTAGAGACCTCATGTCTTGGCTTAATAGTTGTTAACAGCCAACGTTTTTAAGGGTATACTGCCACCTACTGTTCTAAAGTGTGTAGACTCATGGTATGACCACTGACTTTTTGACTTAATGCCGCCTACTACGTGTGATGTATTTTTTATTTTAACCAATGCAGGTCACTACACCTTTGGATTGATTTTTAATTGATTCATGACTCATCGTTACATCACTACTGTTGACCAATCCTGGACTTCTTTAGTTATGTTATGTTACTCAAGGCACTTTTTTATTCATTCGTTGATTATACTGAGAGCCCCTTTCCCAAGCTTCACATTTTAATTAGTCTGTAGGATTCTTAAATAGGGTTATAAGTGTTGTGGAAATAATTATGTTTCCCACGTTTTAATCAAGGGTCTGTTAGCTTCTGGTAAAGGGCAGAGGCTGAGAGCCAAAAGCCAACTGACAGCGCCTAATATGCTGCCCACCTCCGACAAATTGGAAACTCCTAGGATCAATAGAGCACCTTCTCACTGCTTGGCAAGTGAAGAAGATATTTATTATTAGCTCCAAACTGCAAATTACCTTCTGCCACCTCAAAGTTCACAATTATACCTTCTGTCTACTCGACCTTTTCGTTTGTTGTTCTGCATGCATTTTTATTAGCTTTTGTGGTTCAATGTTCTGACCTCTGGTGGTCAAGTCCTCGCTTTCATTCAGGCCTCGCTCATCGTTGCTTCTCTCTCCATGACTGGTCATAAGTGAAAGAAAAGAAAGTACCTTCTTGTGTTTGTGCTGCACTGACAGTCACCGTCTCTGTGGGTTTGTCTGCAGAAGGAGAATTCTGCATTGGCTTTGGAGAATGAGATCCAGAGGGAACAGTATGAATGCTGCCTTGATGAGGTACGTACTACAGAGCATGTAATCTGTCTTCACCTCAGGGTAACTTAAGAACTACTGAAGTGTCAATTAAATATGACTATACTATTGTCCTTTGCCAAGTGTCTTCTAAAGAGTTGACTACAGCTCTTGGCAGAAGCTTTGAATTATTGACAATAACCATAAATGAAAAATACAGTGTCAAAATGTTAAATGGTTATATAGTATTAATGGTATTTTTACATCACTCTGTGACCAATATAGCAAGACACTGGTGAGTAAAACCTAGGCCCTTGTCATGCAGTGTGATCAGCCAGGTAAGATGTTGGGTTTACATAGACTGGTCAACCTCGTCCTTACAAGTCACAGACCTTATCATTTTCTGGCTCCACAGAATTGGGTTCCTGGTCTGTACTGAATTAGGCCACGTCAATCGCTACACAAATCAAATAGAGTTTTAAAGAACAAAAGGAAAAACAAACTACAGCCAACGACAGAAGTGCAACACTGACAGAACTTCTAGGCCAGAAGTTCTACGTTGAACCTGTTACAAACCTGGTTTATATATTGAATTTTGATGAACAGACTAACAACAATAACAACAGACAGCCTAACGTGTGCTGTCCAACATTTGAATTGTTCAAATTGTCAAAGAAAGGGGTACGTTTTAAGATTTTCAGTCCATGTGAGTGACCACAGTTATCATTTGCCAATGTTCCATAGTTTGTACTAAATTATGTTAAGAAACAAAGCAAATGCTTTTTTTGTTTATATTATTACTAATGTAATTTACATCAACCTGTCTTTTACTTTGCTCTCATGATTTTTTTGGAGCCGTTCTGCTCCAAAGAAAGATAGAAAAAAGAGTTTTTACTCACATCATTAATCCAGAGTTAGAAGGCTGTAGAAATATGAGGAAGTGTCAGTGAGTGTTTTCACACTTGGTGTCCAAAGTCATAATCGTCAGGTTTCATTAGATCACTTAACCAGAGTTAGATCTTGTCTCGCAGGGCTCATTTCAATATATTTACTCCTATCTCCACTCAATCAATAAATGAGAGTGTGCACACTCAAAGGAGCGGCTTCATACTTTATTAATGGGCAATCAATAAGCAGTAATCAGAGCCTCCCCTCCATCTGCATTGTGGTTTGAATGTGTGTGGAGGTGTGAGCCCCGGTGAATCACTGTAGAGGCTGTGGAACATGCCCACTGCTTCATTAACTCCTGTTTTCCTTAGTACTACTGTTTAGAGAGAGTGTTCAATACCTAAAAATGATGTTAGTAGTAGTAATTTTTATTTTTTAAAAATCTAATTTTATACCCAAGCAAATGTGTTCTAAAAAATCAAAACATACGTGTCAATCACACAATAAGCTTATCTCCTTATTTTCCATTGATTCCTAAAAGGTGGCCAATCACGTTGTGCAGGCTGTTCTCACCCAGAAGGTAGGTTTTTATTTGTCTGTATTTGTAACTCCCCTTATGATGAAAATGCTAGATTAATATATACTTGTAAGCATGTTTCTTTAGAATTGCCAACCCTATTTCCTCTTATAAACCTTTCTTTTTTATGCTTTGTTGAATTCAGGATCTGAGAGACGAATGTCTGGAGCTGCGCACTAGAGTTTTTGATCTGGAGCAGCAGAATTGGGCTCTGAGTGTTTTGTTCCAGCAGAAGATCAGGCCTGCCTCAGACCTTCTACTTCAGGTAGTGGCAACAAAATATAAAAGTCGTGTGAGATTAACTGGAGCAACACGGATAGAAGAGATTTGCTACAGTTGTATGCAGCCTCATGGTTAGACTTTTTTTTTTTACTTTGGCAATGTATGATCTTTCCCTTCAGCAACGGCATTTACAAGTTTGTGTTTGTATTCTCTGTGTGTGTATGTGTGTGGCTTCATCTTCATTGTCAGTAGATTTTCAAGTTGAGTTCCTCAAAGACATCAAAAACAAGTCGGTTTTACAGAAACAAGAGCCAGAACCTGTTTTGCTTCTCTCTTAACCAGTAGATGATGGTTTCTTACATTTTCTCATTTGAAGTGACATAAAAGTGCCTCAAGTGTTCATTTGTTGGGTTCATTGGAAATCTTGGATCTCAAAATATAGTCTTCCATTCCACTGTGGTTACGACAGTAGGCCTGAGCCAATTATTATGAGTTGTAATACATGTTACAGGACCAGTACCAGTTTAATTACTGTGATTTCACATAATTGTGTAAACTACTATGTATGGTTGAGTGATAAGGATTAATATGATGATTAATAGATCACAATCGCATTCGCATCTCCTTCCAGCGCTTACTTTGCCACTGGTAAAAACAGACTGATGATTAAATGGTGGCTAACACACATCTCGGTACTGTTGTGCCAGTTTAGCCTTGTGTTTACATGAAGTTGAAACCATCAGCGTTTGTGGCTGTATGTGAGAGTGCGTTGCACACAAAAACAATTTTGCACAAGCCTACTACTGTGTCCATCTATCTACATGAACTTGATAGGCCATTTTGGAATTCCTAAAACCCAGTTGTGGCTCATACCATGATTTGGCTTGGCTGTTCCACCAGTTCTGGTAGTATTTTGCAGGATGTGCCATTTATCCTGGTCGCAGCTTGAGCTGCACTGTGTTTAAACTGTGTTCTACTGGTAAGGAAAGATCAGCTAAATGATGCTAGGAAACATATAATGCCACTTGTGCAAATGAACATGGTTCCTTGAGGCTTACATCAAATGTTAGTAATATGCTTTGGGCAAAAAAAAAAAAAAACAGGACTGAGCACAGAGCTGTTTAGCAGCTGACATTTGGATTCTGTGCCTTAACTTTAAGCGGTAATAAGCCTATGTGTGCTCTGCCCTCCTCTACCACTGGGGGCAGACCTGAGGGCATCTTTGGGTAACCATGGCAACGGTTGAGCAGTAAGAGCAGTACGAGGGAAATATAAATAGATAGATTTACAGATAGAGGGAACTTTATTAATCCCTCAGGAGTTCCCTTTGGGAAATCAAGGCTCCGGCAGCAGAACAGCACCAGAAAAACAGGCAGTGCAGTAATGTAACAAATGCCATGCAGGTATGGCAAATCAGCAGCACACAAGATGACAAATACAGTGGTCAAATACAGTATGAAGAAGAAACTCCAGAAGAAAGTTAAAGAGCCAAAAATGAACCTTGATCATTTGTAGTGGCCCATAGTTCAGTTTTTTACTTGTACTATGTACAATACATAGACTTATGAAAGTAGTTTAAAGATGAGAACCCACTTCTAATGTGTTTGAATGTACAGTTTAAGGCCATTTAAATTTAGCTGTGTACGAATAGAGATACGAAGTGGCGGTATAAGCGTTAGCATGGGGTGGAGCAGACCAGTGCAGGAGGTGAGGATGTTTGAAAAAACAGTTGAAAAACCATTTGGCAGAATTCTCTGAATGTCAATCACATTATGTATCTCTGGTTTCAGTTCGTCAGCTGTGTTGAGGTATGGTTTGGCTTGTTTCTGTGAATTACAGTATTCCACCTTGTATGTTGTCCAGCCTTGTTTCTGTGAATTACAGTATTCCACACATGGATTCTGTGTCTTTCACTGATGCTTAGCCATCCTCATGTATTTGAGGAACAAAAGTAAGTGTTCATCTTTGTATTGTTATCGGCTCTGAATATCTAAATAAAGTCATGGTTAGTTTAATCCCTGTCACGGAGCCTTAAGCAGAGATGTTGTTTCACTGAGGCAGTAAAATGATCATCTATCCATCTGCAGACCTTCTGCTAATCAGTAATTACATGTTTTCTATTTCCCTCTGGGCTTCTCCAGTTTCTCTGATAAATGTACTTAATACTTCCTCAATCAGTTCTTCATCTTCACTTCCTTAAGATACTGTACTTTAAATTGAATTAAAATCCCTCAAATTGACTGCAGGTACAGGAATGGCTGTTAAATGCACAATTTGTTATTTTTGGGATATGGGAAATACTGGTACATGCTCCCATCTACTTATACTGTTTATTTAATAAGACAGGCAAGTGGCAGTTAGGTTCCATATAACTACAACAAATGCCTTTTTTGGAGCTACCTTAGGGCCAAGGAAACACTGATTTAATAGTCATATCTTAATTACTGCTCATAGAGTTTGCTGAATGTTTTTTTGCTTACAAAGAAACTACGACTTATAGAACAAAGTCCCTTTTTAACATAGAGCAAAATGTCTGTTTTTAATATTAGGCATTCACACATCTTTCCTTTGCCAAAGCTGAACTGTTCTCTTTTTATTCATTTATTTATTCATGTATTCATTTCAACACTGGTCCTTATAGCTGCCTCATTTGGAGGATGAATGAATCACACATAATTTCGATAAGGTCATACAATTCAAGGTGATCTTGTCTATATATTTTATGAGTGTGAATTAAGTTGGCACAATTTTTTGACAGTTAATATCAATGTTGATGTACGTATTTGTTTGTAGCCTTTGTGCTGCCTCTTTTATGGACTAATAACTATTATCATAAAATATGGGTGTTGTCAAGGGACAGGCATCAAAGGACAAAAGCTGCTTTTTCTTCTATACACAACATTGGTTTGCACAACATTAGTTTACATGGTTAAGGTAGAGAATTAATATTATATCTCCTAACCTATACTACGTCGGGAGGATCTTAGAAATGGCAATTTCTGACATTGATCGTGGCTTTGAACCTGACAAAGTTCAAGAACACACACCCACTTTGGTCCTCTAACATTTCCTTCAACTATCTATGAACCTCTGACACTATTGACTGGAGGCATGATAAAGCTGCTGAGGAGGTGAAATCCAGCACCCAAAGATAAGATCAGAGCCTCCTGTGACTTCCCTACCACTCCCATTCCATGTGGAGGGCCAGGAGGTGCAGGGATGCAGCAGACAGCAGGCAGTTCCCTTTGTCCAGATCTGATTCATTTACTCCAAAATAATACAGATTTTACAAAATTACAAAATGATGTTATAATTTGACCTAATGAAGCTTAGATCAACAGTAACATACAATGTGCTGTGTATTGTTTAGACACAGCAAATGTTAAGTTAAATAAACATGCAGACACACAAATAAATGTTTCAAATATATAAATATATATTTATATTTAGAATTATTTGTTATATGCTTATGTAATTCATCCTGCTAACTATTAATATTCTTGCACATTATCAGTTGTTTATGTACAGTGGCCTGAAGATTTACACGTGGTAATACAGCACAAAAGCAGAAAAGGTTTTTGAATTAAAAATAAAAAGATAAAAAATATCATTTCATTCTACAAGATAATTGTCCTTTTCATATTTTTACAGAATTATTTCAGAATTTGACTGCTAAGACAAATGATTGCTCTTTTTAAACATACCACTCTTCCCCCCAATATTTAGGCTGTATTGAAAAAAAGAGTTCCTGTCGCAAATCAAGTGCATTTTCATTAAAACTAAAATCATTATATTTTTCAATTTTCTATCTTGTCATTTTCATGACTAAATAATGTACTCACCTGGAAGCTTGTGCTATCATACATATCATACACTTATATTTGTACTAACTAAATTCCAATGTTCATTGTGAAATGTTGTCTTTTTCCTTTCAGAAACTCTACTCTCGCATTGTGCATCTGTCTGCGGTAGATTTGCTTCTGGAGCAGGAGAAAAGCAAGGACTTCTTCCTCTCCAGGAATACAGACTTCTCATCAAATGTAAGCTTTAAGTGAAATCTTGGACGAAGCTGTGTGTGAGCTTTTTTTTCCAGCTCTGTGTTTTGTCCAGGTAACATGACTGCTTTTCTACTCTCCGTTCCTGCTCCTACTACCCCCCCCCCCCCCCCCCCCCCCACTAATCATTATTGGATATTAAAATACATGCTGAACAATATGAGGCCTTGACCCTTGTCTGCCCTGAGCAGGAAGGGCTGGCAGTATCACTTGGCACTAAGAGGAATAAATCCTTGTCATATTACCAGAAAACCATCGATTGGGACTTCTTTTCAGTTGAAATGACTCCACAGGACACAGTGGTACATTAGTCATCTTATGTATTATGCATTAAGCACTGAAAATGAGTTTGCTCAATTCTTTTAAGCTCTAACCCCTCTGAGAACGCTACCTGATCAACTCTTATATGTGTCATGAAGACGGAGGATATGAAATAATAGTAACCATGATGAAAATGACCTCCTCATGTACAAAGCAAGTACAAGAAATCACACAAGTTGAGACGTTCATCTTACAATTCTTAAGTTTGCTGAAAATAACTGTGATATGACTGCATCATTTCACGGACCTTCTTTAAATAATTTATTTGCATAGTCAGATTCTCATATGTGAATAATAGGTAAAGTAATTAACTGTGCTGCGATTATTTCGATGTAGAGTAGTTTTGCAACACATAATTAAAGAAAAGCAATAGTATTAGATTATGCTAACTTTATTTAGGCTTTGTCACATTAAAGAGGTGTAAACATTGTCATACACATCTATTCTAACTCAATCTAAAACACACTATATAAAGAATTTAAATTCTATTACAAAACCCAAAACAAGTGCATTAAAAAAAATCGTGTTTTTTGTTATTTCTGTCAAAGGAGGTGCAGTCAAATGGAAAGCCATCAAAACCACCAACCAAGTCCCTGAGCCAGCTCAGTCTGACAGGACTAGCGCCGGTGTATCCTCAGAGCAGTTGTAGCAGCAGTGAAATATCCCTCTCCAGTGCGTGCAGTGAATTCTCCAGTGGCTCATATACTTGGAATGATGGATTGTCCTGTGGAAAAATGGTATGCGACCAACCTTCTATAAAACCTTACAACCCTTTAACCAGACTACAGCATGTGTTAAGACATTCAGGTCAATGTGACTGGTACCTAATGGACTCTTTCAATCTGTTTTTTTTTAAATCTGCAGTCGCCTGTGACCTGGGAGAGGAGGCTAAATTTGGGTTTGGCAGCCCAGAGTAATATCTGTGGCCCACTGGAGGAGCAGTTGCCCACGAGGCTTAAGGAAAGCCAAATACTAGAGGGACTTAGGAAGCTCCAGAGGAGGACGCACAAGAGCCGCTCCACCTCATCCAAAGTCTCCAAGTCAGGCGAAAATGAGTGCATGAACTCCAACGAGGGCATCTACTCCCTGGGTATTAAAAGTAGCAGCAAGATGGCATCCAAGCTTATGCATGTGAACAAAACCTGTTCAGTTGAGTTCTGCTCTGATTCTGACGATCCAAATGTTGAACCGATACATTCCAGTCGAAGAGACAGCGCGTCTATAAAAGACAGTTGGTTTCACTGTAATCAGCGCTCCCGAAGCATTCCAGAAAGCTTATGTAGCTGGGAGGAACTAAAGGTCAATGGAACTGGAGGTAGACGTGATAGTGTTTCAGGATCTGGAGTTACCGTGCAGTCTACAGGTTATAACTTGAACCACCGACCTGAAAACGACACTAATTCCATCAACACTGATCTCCCTGAGGGAAAGCAGACATCAGCTTCTATTGAACGACCTCGGGTACATTTGGAACTCTTGGACCTAGAGTGTCCCAAACATGTCCCTGATGAAGATTATCCAGAAGTACTTTTTTCTGAGTCCAGTGAAATCACAGTGTCATTGAGCCAGTTCCCAGACGAAGCCAAGAGACAGTCTAAGATGCTTTCAGGAGACACTGCCAAGGTCCCTGCTCAACAGGGAGACCAACAATGCACCCAGTCTGTGGATCACAGTCTTTTAACTTTGAGTTTATCTCGGGAACCCATCACTGCCAAATGCATGCTTTCTGAAGTACATATTTCAGCAGTATTTGATGCAGAAGGAGAGTTTATTAAACATGGTACACCAAAAAGCACAAAACAGTCTCTTGCAAAGTCGTCTGATCAACATCTACGGGGGAGAAATATAGGCAAACATCCAAGTAAAGGACATTCAATCACTTCTACCATAGACTCTTGTCCTAATTTTAATGGTTCAAAAATAACCAGTCATGACAAACCTTTAACATCTCCACCAACATCGTCAAAGTGCACTACCACTGAACAAAGCAAGACTGGAAACTCAGGACTCCTAGATCAGGATAAACCCTCCTGTTTTCCACCAGATAAAACATCCAGGTTTATCAAGACAACAGGACACTGTTTACAAAGCTCAAAGCCTTCTAATGGAGCAAAATATAACAAGGGCTCTACATCCAATTCTTCAAATCCTTCAAGATGCATGGAGTCTACTTACAATGGCAAACAGAAAACCAGAGACAACGACTGTGAACCCAGCAAAAATAAACTCAGGATCCCCTCTCCTCCCTCCTCCCCAGACAGAACAGCTTCAATATTGAATAAACCAAAGTGTGAAGGGTCACCTCAAAAACCTACAATAGGTGTAGCTCAACAAACGGCACCAACTACTGTAAGAGGCCCTCCCCCGAGGTACCACAATCCTGTCATACCAAATATGCAAAGTACACTTCCAATCAAGGACAAAAACTGCTTGGACCCAGATGCAGGCTGTGGGACCAAATTATCACCACAAAAACCTGTTGACAGAACCAGTCAGCACCTTCGAAAGGCCGCCGCCATAACGGAGACATCTATGAAACACACCTTCAAGCAAACAAACACCAAGGTCTACCTCCCTTCTGCAAATGCAGGGTTCACTCCAGAAGCTGAAAATGTCCCCACAAGTTCAAAGAATCCACCTCCTTACCACTGTGCCCTTAAAGGTTCTCCAAATCAGAGCTCTTCTCCAGGTAAAAAAGGACCAACCCATGAAAACCACCATGTTAAAAAGAACTCTATCGGTATATCTACATTATTTGAAGACACTCTTCATTATAAGGTGGAGCCTGAAAAATCTCTTTCTGTCTTAGGCCCACCTAGCACAGCTATAGTACCCACCAACCCAGTGAAAAAAGCCTTCAAGACATCATCAACATCAGGATTTAAATCAGTTTCCAAATCTCCCAGTAACCCCAAAACTAGCATCGCCATTCCAGGAAAACAAGAGAAAGACCATATCAACTCAGTCTCCAAGGAGACAACCTCGAACACTTTTGCACACTATGACAGATTACAGCCAGTGCACCATGATTCACCAACCAATTGTCCCATAACAAAGGGGGTCGAGGCTAACAGTAGGCTACAGGAAGGAGAATTACACGCTGAAGCTTCACCAGAAGAGGGTTTTGTTTGTGGCGAGGGCATACGGTTCTCAAGGTCTGTCTCGGTAACTGCCAAGCCGCAATTGAAGCCAGTTCTGGGCATGAACGGAGCCAAAGCACGCAGCCAAAGTTTTAGTACAAACTATATTGAAAAGCCCAAAAAAACTGCTCTGGATGGACAGGGAAAAATCAGAACACAGATCATCACCAAATCATCTGAAAGGGGAAATTCAGTGTCAGGACAGAGCCCTGTGGACATACCTGGTGTTCGATTTGCTGAAAGCCCTGCTCATCCGCCCAGGTCCAGGATCAGCTTATGTGGTGGTTTAAGCAGTTTAAATAGTCATCACGAAGCGTCACAAAACTCGTGTAAAGATGCAGATATGAATTCATCTCGCCAAAAGGTGACACGTTGCCTATCTAACAATGATCAGACGGGTTTAAAAGTTATTCGGAGACCAGCAAAAGTTTCCCCTCGACCATCTTCTTGTGTGTATAGCTCGGAAAAGGTAGTGCAAAAAACGGCAATTATATCAAACACCACCAGTGAGAAAGACTTGAGCAGGAAAATTGAAACTGGAACAGATTTGCGAAACAAACCTCTGGAAATTGGGAAGAAAAAGGTTGGCCATACAGTGTGCGCTATCGAAAAAAAGGTCATGATGGGAATTGAAGAGAATGTGCAGAAATGTCAAGAACTGGAAAAAGTCACTGTCAGTGCGACTAAACAAAAGACAAGTTCCTCTTTGGCAAACTGGTTTGGCCTTCGTAAAAGCAAGCTCCCAGCACTAAGTGGCAAGAAAATAGATTTCCCTAAAGGTAAAGAGGAGAAGAAGATGAAGAATGGATCTCTTTTAGGAGGAAAACAGATGCAGTCTGATAAGAAGAAGGACAAGAAGAAAAATGAAAACCAACAGAAAGATAATCAAGAGATGCAGAATCTGTCCGACCTCAACAGCAGGTTGAGCTCGATCATGGACCACTGCAACCATCGGATGGGACAGATTGCCAGTCACATCCAAAGTA